TCATTTCAGTCATGTCTGACTCTTTGTGATCCCATTTGGGGTTTTCTCAGCAGAAATACTGGAATAGTTTACCATTTCCTCCTCCAGCTCATCTTACATATGAGAAAACTGAGGCAAACGGGTTTAAGTGATTTGCCCAAAGTCATAAAGCTAGTACATGTCTGAGGCTGGATTTGAACACATGAAGATGAGTCTTCCTGACACTAGACCCAGCACTCTATCATTACATCAATTATATATGTATATATATCTATATGTAAATGTATGTACATATATATAAACATATATGTACATTTATACATACACACATGTATATGTATGTGTGTTGTAATGTATGTCTAGTGCCTGGCATACAGCACTGGACCATTATTTGATAAAAGCCAGCTGAATGGATAGTGATCAAAATCACAAAGAATATGGGTTTTATGGGGAAAGAAAGGGCCTAGCTCAGAAATATTAAGATCATTTCACATTTTTAATATCCCAGACAGGTAAATTTTATATTAACCAATGCTGTTTCCTATTCAATCAGGATAATGTATGGACTAAGTATTTTCAGTGCTTTACAGAAAAGACTGGGGTTGCTAGACAGAAAAACAGCTAGAATTGATATTGTGATTTCAGATTTACTAAACTTTATAATTATGAATATATTTGATTTGCTGTGAATATATTTGATCCTCACAACAATGTTGACATGTAGATGTTACTGTTATTCTCATTTTACAGATGAGGAAACTTAAGAAGATAGAAGTTAAGTCACTCGTTCAGGCTCACATATATATCTAGTGTTTGAGGCTGGATTTGCATTCTAGTCTTTTAGAATTCAGTTCCAGGACTTAATCTACTGGACTATCTAAATGTAATAAAAAGAGACAAAGTCTGCAAAAGAGGCAGCCTACCTCCATGTGTTCTAGACTCCCACAACACACAGGGGATTTTGGACTAACACAGTAGTTTTTTCAATAATTTGAGGTAGGAAACAATGATGATAATGACACTCAAGTGGGTATTATTGATAATACCTTAAGTACAATTTCCAGCAATGATCTAGGATGTAACTTGTCATCTGGTCATTAATTCTCACTTGCACTGATAGGATATATTCACTTCTTTCCATTTCTTCCTCTTCCTCGTGATTCACAGGAAAACATTTTCCGGTCTACCTTCCCATTGCAATTAAAGATCATCATGCCAGTTACATGATCTTAAGGATCAAGCAAATGAAACAATTTAAACACTTTTTCTAATCTTAAATTCTATATAGATATTAGTCATTACTGTATTAACATTTTATTTTTCTTATCTTTGTTTTGGTTGGATTTCTGATAGAAACATCCTGAGGAAAATTGCTATACTAATCTTATATATTAATTTTCAGTATTCATAAAAATCATATGAAGGTGTTTATGTGCTTAACTATTTTGCAAATGAAGTATTAGGATGCAGGCTTAACTTGTGTAGTTCTACTTAAAGAATGTTTTCATATCATTATTATGGTTATCTTAGTCCTAATTCATTGGAATACACATTGGAATCTCAGCAGCTTAACTCTAAGAGTGGTGTGTTTTTCATTCATTCATTCATTCATTCATTCATTCATTCACTCATTCATTCATTCATTCATTCATTTATTAAATAGAATCCCAAGTAGCTCACCTTGCCTGGGGTCTAGGAGGAAACTCCAGTGCTACAGAGACATCTCAGAGGCCCAGAACAACAGGAGTAGAAGGGAATAAACTGCTTTTTCCCATTACTGCTCCTTGTATTCCCTGGAGATAGTTTCCCCAAGGAAAGATGCTTTTTTTTTTTTTTAGTGTTATCCACAGTAAAAAAGATCTGTTATGATGGTAGTACATCTTGATCTAAGAGAGCCATGACTATTGCATTGAAAAAAGCCTTGAGTTTTCCGTAAGTAGAGATAGGAAGAACCAGGGTAATAGCACATATATGGAGGAGAGGAATTAGCCTAACCCAGCCATATCACCTTTGGAAGCTGGTCTGAAAAAAAAATGCTGCTGCCAAAAGCAAGCTAGGGCTGTCTTGTCAGTTCTAAATCTCAACAATCTCCTTTGAAGATCTAAGAAGAGTGACTAAGACATTGAGATCTCCTCCTTTTATGTCCTGAATACACAAGGTAATTATTAAAGAGAAAGTATAATTGCATCTTTTCCTTGGGTATTACAATGCTAGGTACTAGGAATGATGGAGGGAAGATAAACTGAAAGTATTTCATCCTATCCCATCCCTTCCAAACCAAATATCCCGTTTTCCTTATTTATCCTCCCTGAGATAAATATTGGGTCAAAGTCACTGATCTGGGCTCCCAATCCAGCTGAGTAGCTTCACCCAGAGGAAGTTCATAAGTAACTATGAATCTCTTCTAAGTCAGTCTCACTTGTTAATCTTCTTTCTTTGTCTTTGGTAGACAAGAGTGATTTAACACACCCTTTCAATTTCCTCAAGGTCTTTTTACTATCATAGTATAAATTGAGTTCATTTGCACACCTGGAAATCTATGTCAAATCTTCAGGTTGTCATGGTCAATGACTGTGATATACCTTAGAGGCATGCCAGCCATATGCTAGTCCTTCTTTTCCTTCTTGAAATCCCTGTTGTTCCCAATATAAAACAAATTTACTCAGTGAGTATTGAATGTGTCCATCATGCCCAATAGTGCCATAGATGATATGGAAAAAAGGAGAAGATGCAGTCACTGTTTTTATTGGGAGAATATTGCGGAGAACATCCCCAAAATAGTAATGAGCATAAGCAATGCCATTTGGGTGAATTTACCCTGATTGACTGCTTGAAGTGAGGAGAGTGAAAATATGTCAAAATGTGCAATGTTGTATTCATTTTCAAAATTTCAAGAAGGACAAAACATCTAGTCTGTGGGATTCACCATCAAAGAATCTAAACATGAATTATGCCTCATCAGAAAACAGAGAAGAGGCTGAAAGAAAAAAACATTTTTTCTTAGGCTCTGAGAGTCACGTTAGGCAGTTCAATACTTCCAAAGAAAGAATAACTAGTATCATGAGTGTGGAACAAATGTCAATGCTTTTAGCCTTGGTTGAGGTTAAATTTAGTGCTGATTTTTTTTCTTGTCATTTTTTTTTCTTTATTGTTAAAATATATAGTAACATTGGAAGGGGGAAGGGTGTGTTCAGAAATGAATGTTAAATATATAGATACATACATATAAAACATATACATATCTTGGGTGAACATATATACATATAGATATACATATATACAGACATATAAATATGTCTGTATATATGTATGCATGTATGGCACAAGCTTTGAATCAGAGAAAAAGTCCAGTGAGTAACGTGTGTATCCAGGGTCAGAAAGGTCTGAAGTTGTTCAGGAACTAGGGCGACAATAAGTCATTCCATGGCTAGAATGGAGATCTCACAACCCAGAGTGTTTCACTCCCAGAAAACTGGATAAATATAATCTGGGCAACAGTAAATAAGAGAGAAAATATTTTCCAGAGACCAAAGAATGTAAATGTCCAATGGATGAGTAAGGTGTTCCAAGAACTGAAACTTTACAGAGAGAAAAACAAAATATGAAACTTATTTCCTTGACTGTAATTGGAACAGTGAGAGGAAGGAGCTCTTCAGGTATCTGAACTAGCATTAAAGGTTGAGTAAGAAAGAGGTACCTGGGCATCTGACACTTAGACCCTATATTTAAAATGGATCAGACAATTCTGTAAGGATGTGATTTAAGAATCTGAATGGCCAAATTCAAATCATGAAGAAAATAATTGAACTACCATTAAGAAAATATTAGTAGGAATTTTAGAAGGCTAAAATTCTCAAGAAAATCATTTATTTTTTAAGGCCAACATGCATGACCAATGAAGATGGCACCTACTCTATAACTTATTCTCTTAGAGGGTTGCCTGGGGACACTGAAAGGTTAACTTGCTTTCCTGGAATTAAACAGCCAGTGAAAGTGAGAGACAAAGCTTGAACACAGATCTTCTTGGTTTCAAGGGTGGCTGTCTCTTCCGTAGGCCATGATACTACTCTACACATAATTTCATTTAACACTTGCAACTATTCTTTGAGACAACTAGGTGGTGCAGTGGATATAAATCTGGCTTGGAACTAAGAAGACTTGATTTGAATCCTACCTCAGTCATTTAATTTCCATGTGGGCCTGGGCAAGTCACTTGTTCTCTTTTAGCATCACTTTTCTCATTTGTAAAATGTGGGGAGTTGGCTCTAGGGCTTCTAAGAGTACTTACAGCTCTGAATCTATAAAATATTTTTACTTTCTCTCTTTTTACAGATGAAGAAAATGAAGCAAAGAGAAGTTGTCTGACTAACTTTAGCTATTATAACATTTATGTGCTTTGTCTGCATTGTAAATGTAGTGGTTGGCAGGTATGGAGTTCTTAATAAACATGTTATCTAATTCTTTATAATAGCATTGAAAGATAGTATGTATATATATATATATACACACATCTATATCCTATATCATACATATATGTATACATACATACATACATACATACCTCTGCATGTGTATGATCCTGAATGCTGGAAGTAGTAAGAAGAATATTGAAATCTTTCCAGACACCTTGTTTCTTTGAGGTCTTTGGTAGTAGAGCACACAGACAAGCTAGGAGATAACCTTCACAGTGGACAGAGTCAGCCAAGCGCCAGTCTGGCTGATGAAGGGAACTAGTTACCTACAAGACACGATGAATGAGTCTGAATGAGGTGGAGAGAGAGAGGCGGTAGAATTAAATTGTAAGACTAAGTCTTGGCAGGTTATTTCAGATAATCAATAGGAAACAATCTCTGTTAGAGCACCTTGAATAACTGAATCATTCAATCCTTTAATAACTGAATCATTAAACTTGTACCTTTCTTCCTGAAATATCACAGAACCTATTAATTGAAGTCTTCTTTTTTTTAGAGCATTTATGAGTTCTGCTGAGATAAAAGTGAGGAGGATCCAAGATCCCCATAATGATAGCTATCAACAGAACCAATTTTCATCCGACCAGCTTTTTTCTCCTTGGAATCCCAGGACTAGAGGCTGCTCACATCTGGATATCTATTCCTTTCTGCCTGGTGTATATATTGGCTGTGGTGGGGAACTGTACCCTTCTTTTCATTATTAAAACTGATCCTAGCCTGCATGAACCTATGTTTCTATTCCTTTCCATGCTCTCTGTGGCAGATTTGATGCTTACAACCACCACCATGCCAAAAATGCTCAGTCTCTTCTGGTTTAATGATGGAGAAATTCGTTTTGAAGCCTGCCTCACCCAAGTATTTCTCATACATGCTCTGTCCAATATGGAATCTGGGATCATATTGGCCATGGCTTTTGACCGCTATGTGGCTATATGCAACCCACTTAGACATTCAACCATTTTGACCATTACTGTTATTCAGGTCCTAGGACTGGCTATCCTTCTCCGTGGAATTGTGCTGCTCGGTCCTCATCCATTCATGCTTAGGTGGCTTCCCTACTGTAGGACTAATATCATCCCTCACACCTACTGTGAGTTCATGGGATTGATTAAGCTGGCCTGTGCCCCAACCAAGATCCCTAGAGCTTACAGTCTATTTGTTGCTTTCATTACAGGTGGGCTAGACTTCATACTGATTATCTGTTCCTATGTCCTCATTCTCCGTACTGTGTTTCATCTACCTTCCAGTGAAGCCAGAATTAAGACATTAAGCACCTGTGGCTCTCATGTGTGGGTCATATTGATTTCTTATACCCCTGCCTACTTTTCCTTTCTCACTCATAGGTTTGGACACCATATCGCTCCTTCTATTCATATTTTTGTGGCCAATATCTATGTCCTTGTTCCACCCATGGTGAACCCCATCATCTATGGGGTCAAAACTAAACAGATACGGGAGAGGTTTCTCAAATTTTTCACAGGTTAAAAGACTTAAAAATGAAAATAAGTTGGACTTAACTCTTAAGTTAAATGATATTACAGCAATAATGTCATTTTGTGGAGTTGTAAGTAAACTAAAATAATTATGTTGATAATGGATGGTGATATGCTTGGTGGGCCTTATAGAAGAAGATGGGTTAAAATATAACTGTCACCTTTACTGTTTGGTACTCATATTGAAAAGATGCCCTAAGACTTCACATGAAAGGTCCTTTCATTGATCTTCAAGAAAATTTGAAATTCTAGTTAAAAGGTCAGTTTATTACATAGATCTCAAAAATAATTTTACATTAAAAATCAATGTAGTGTCAAGAAATAGATATCATTTATGTGCAGCTCTCTCAGCACATGATGGAGGTGTGAGGCAATATATTGGGTGCACCAGAAGTAATAGTCATAGACTTGTTGTGTACCCATCAATAGGCATGCTGCTTAGTGCAGAAGCAAAAACAAATTTTGGTTTAATATATAAGGAGCTAGATTATAACCCTTACTCTACCATTTATGTCAAATGGGAACAATAGTTCTCTTTTTTTAAAAATTAATTTATTTTGAATTATCAACAATCACTTCCATAAGCTTTTGAGTTTTAAATTTTTCTCCCCCTCCCTCCCTACCTCCCTTCCCAAGATGGCACACAATCTGATATAGGCTATACATATACATTGCTATTAAGCATATTTTCACATTAGTGATACTGTAAGTAAGAATTAGATCTAATAGGAGGAACCACCAAAAGAGGAAACAAAACACAACAGAAGAAAAAAAAATAGCAAATAGTATACTCGATCTGCATTCAAACTCCATAGTTCTTTGTTTGTATGTGGATAGCATTTACCTTCATGAGGTCTTTGGGGATGTCTTAGATCTTCATATTGCTGAGAAGGTTTAAGTCTATCAAAGTTAGTCATCACACAACGTGGCTGTTATTGTGTACAACATTCTTTTGGTTCTGCTCACTTCACTCAGCATCAGACCATACAAGTCTTTCTAGGTTTTTCTGAAGTCAGCCTGTTCATTATTTCTTACAGCACAATAGTATTCCATTACATTCATACACCACAACTTGTTCAGCCATTCCCCAATTGGTGGGCATCCTCTCAATTTCCAATTCTTTGCCACCACAAAAAGAGCTGCTATAAATATTTTTGTACATATGGGTCCTTTTCCCATTTGTATGATCTCTTTGGGATATAGCCCTAGAAGTGCTATTGCTGGGTCAAAGGGTATGCACATTTTTATAGCCCTTTGGGCATAGTTTCACATTGCTCTCCAGAATGGTTGGATCATTTCACAACTCCACCAACAATGCTTTAGTGTTCCAATTTTCTCACATCTTTGCCAACATTTATCATTTTTCTGTTTTGTCATGTTGGCCAATCTGATAGGTGTGCTGTGGTACCTCATAGTTGTTTTGTTTTGCCTTTCTCTAATCAATTTAGTGATTAGAGCATTTTTTTTCATATGACTATAGATGGCTTTAATTTCTTCATCTGAGAACTGCCTGTTCATATCCTTTGACCATTTATCAATTGGGGAATGACTTGTATTCTTATAAATTTGACTTAATTCTCTATGTATTTTAGAAATGAGGCCCTTATCAGAGATAACTGGTTGTAAAAATTCTTTCCCAATTTTCTACTTTCCTTTTAATCTTAGTTGCACTGGCTTTGTGCAAAAACTTTTCAATTTAATGTAATCAAAGTTATCCATTTCTCATTTCGTAATGTTCTCTGTCTCCTGTTTGGTCATGAATTCTTCTGTTCTCCATACATCTGATAGGTAAACTATTCCTTGCTCTTCTAGTTTGCTTATAGTATCAGCATTTATATCTAAATCATGAACCCATTCTGACTTTATTTTGGTATATGGTGTGAGATTTTGATCTAATCCTAATTTCTGTTATACTCTTTTCCAGTTTTCCCAGCAGTTTTTTGTCAAAGAGTGAGTTCTTATCCTAGAAGCTGGGGTCTTTGGGTTTATCAAATAATAGATTACTATAGTCATTGACCGCTGCGTCATGCATATTTAACCTGCTCCACTGATCCACCACTCTATTTCTTAGTCAGTACCAAGCAGTTTTGATGATTGCTGCTTTATAATACAATTAAATATCTGGAATGGCCAGGCCACCTTCCCCTGCATTTCTTTTCATTAGTTCCTTTGATATTCTGGACGTGTTGTTATTTCAAATGAATCTTGTTATTATTTTGTCTAACTCTATAGAATAATTTTTGGTAGTTTGATTGGTATGGCACTGAATAACTAAATTAGCTTAGGTAAAATTGTCATTTTTATTACATTAGCTCTACCTACTCATGAGCAACTGATATTTTTCCAATTATTTAGATCTGACTTTATTTGTGTGAAAATATAGTTCTCTTTTTTTCTTTTTCTTTACTGGGCCATAATAAGCAAAGAATCTTGTAAAATAAAAATACTATATAAATGTGAACAGGTGACAGTGATGATGATGATGATGATGATGATGATGATGATGACAGTGATGACAATGACAATAATGATGGTTCTCAGGTCCACAATGAGAGATTCCTTGAATAGCAAAATATTTAACCCAAGCTCAGGTTACCATGGTTGTTCCATCCCTTAGCACTATCTGTGTTGTAGAGTCCACCTGTACCAAAGCTTATAAAAATAAGGGTGTCTTCTTCATACCTCCCTGAGGTAGCGGTTCCAGAATTTTTCCTAATACTGCACAAGACTGTTGGTTTTCTTCACTAATCAACTGATTCATATCCAACTGAATTCTTTCCTACATTTTGGAGGATAGGAGATTCCAATGGGATTATTACCATCCTAGTTCATGACATCATATCCCTAAACACAGTCTATCGAGTTGGTTATTGGGGCTATTGTGTCACAGTGTTGACTTCAACATAGTAGGTATTTAGTAATTAGATGTACCATTAATTTGGGTAGATTTATATTGACCTTAAGTATACTAAAACTACCAGAACTTCCTTAATCCCAGTTGTACCTTGTCCCATCTCAAGCATTTAATAATTCTGTCAGTGAAAGGATCTATTGAAAGAGATATCTAAGGTACTGGCTTCTTTGCTCTGACTGGTATCCCTGGAACCCCACCTTTTTCTCCTTCCACTTCCTATTCTAATAGATATATATGTGTTCAAAAATCCCTAAATTCAACAGTTTAACAGGGGAAGGCTTAAATGAATTGTTGCAAAATGAAGTAAGGAGAGACAAGAAAACAATATACATGATGACTACAATAGCATAAATGAAAAGATCAATCATTATAAAAGAATAGAAAAGTAAACATTGCAAAATTACAAAGAAAAAGCTTGGCTCCAAAGAAGAGATATTTGATGACACCACCCCTGACTCCTTTGCCGAGGGGGGGAGGAGATCTACAGATGTAGAACATTGCATATCATGTCACACTTTTTTTAGGTATTGATTAGCTTTTCTGAGTTTTTCTGTAATTTCTCTCTTTTTTTAAAAATCATTATAAGGAATTATTCTCTGACAAGGGGAAGGGAAGTTCTGCATGGAGAAATTTAGGTGATGTAAAAACAAGAAATATCAATAACATTTAACTTTAAAAAAATAGAAATGGAAAGGATGGTGCCTTTCAATTTATCTGTTCAAAGTGAACAGATCATACAGGCTCATGCTGTTTTAACTTAGGCAAGAATATATCCCACCTGAAGATGACCCAGAGATTCTAGAATTAGCTAAAAACATGAAACAAGGCAGCTATAATGGTTTCTGTTGACAATCAAGGCTCCTTTCCCAGTACCTTCTCACCCTGGATTCTATTCCTTGATGTTCATGTGCTCTAGACTCAACACCAAATCTAAACCAAATTAGTTTAGGGAGCAGGTGAATCTAGAAAATCTATCATTAGGTTCAACTTTTCCCTTTGTTCAACAAACCTCTATACCTTCTTTTGTGAGTTCAGACCGAGTGTCTGTTATGCAAAATCAGTTGAGTCCTGGATCTGATCAATGCCACATGCTCCAAGTGTAGCTAATTGTGCAGCATATAAAGTAGAAGAGTGGTGTCAGGAGTTAGAATGGTGCTTCAGAAACTTACTAACTCTGTGACCCTAGGCAAGCTTCTCATGCGCTATCTACCTCAATTTCCTCAACTGTAAAACAGGGGTGTTAATAGAATCTACCTCTATGTCTCAGGGTTGTGAGGGAAAAATTTTATGATATTTACAAAGTATTTTGCAAACTTTATAGTGCTATCATCAACATCATCATCATCATCATTGGAATTAACACAATCTTGACATAGAAACCTCACAAAATAGGCTGCACTCCCAGCCCTGCTACTTTCTGGCTTTGTGATCATTTTAAGTCACTTGTTCTCTCTTATACATCAACCTTTTCCTATGTCACTTTGCCTCAGAGGGTTTGAAAAGCTAACATAAAATGAAGGAAATATGTATTTTTTTTTTGATGAATGAAGTACATTCTAATATTAGGAGACTGGCAGAACCAGAAATTTGTTGACCTTATCCAGAAGGATCAAAAGCCAAATATCCATACAGAATCCTCGTTATGCCACATAGGTTACAAAGAGATGTGAAGAGTTAGGAAAAGACCCAGAGCCCACATAAATAGCAACTGCAACAGTGGTTACAGCAGGAGCTTCAGGAGCTCCAGAAATGGTAAGTGGGTCAGACAACTGATCTGAAAGTGATTACAGAGGACCTTGGACTGGGACTGGCTATAGCTGACATTGATAGGCAACTCTATTGCCCATTTACAGTTCTGGGTCACAATTCCAGAAAAAAGCAGAGCGAGAAAGAGAGAGAGACAGAGAGAGACAGAGACAGAGAGAGACCGAAAGACAGAGAGACAGAGACAGAGAGAGACAGAGAGATAGAGACAGAGAAACAGAGAGACAGAGAGACAGAGAGAAACAGAGAGAGAGAGAGAGAGGAAAAGAAGAAGAAGAGATGAACGGAAATAAATAGTAATTAAATATGTGTGA